GAAGATCAAAATTAGCGTCTAATTTAGAATTAGCTACGAGAAATATCCTTGGGGGGTCAATTACGTAATCGGGAGTCAGAGATGCCAAAAGTTCTTCTTTAGCCCGGTCAGAAGTATAAAATTTACTTTGCCTCAATCCCTTTATCCACCTCATTTTAAGCCACATATCTGACAAAGTCGTAGATTCATCTATACTATTACAAAAGGCATGAAAGCTTTGAGACTTGGCTTGTCTAATCAAGCGTTGAGATTCTGATATCTTGTCTTAAAGTCGTTGATACTATTTAAAAGGTCTTATTTTAAACCCTGATAGACGACTGACGGAAAAAGTTCTTAACTTCAGATCCAGCGAAACAGCACAGCGCCGTCTATTGAAATAATTTAACAACTCATTACCATATGCTTTTATTGTTGTTGAATGTTGAACGTTCGCTATTTAAAAGTTGTTGGCCTCCAAATTACGGATTACTTTTGATTACTTGACATTTCCATTAGGTAGTAAAAAGTAAGTAAGTAAGTAAGACACTTTAAATTTGTTTTTGACACCTGGCATTCAAATTGTGTAACGTTTTGATTAAAAGTTAAATATCATTAACATTAGAAAATACAATGGAAGTAAGTATATATGTAGGAGTGATACCAAGGAGCTGGCGGTGACAGGGTTTTCTGACTCGCAGTTTTAATTTCTCATACATCGTTGGGTCCAAATCATGATTAACCGTTACAAGTTCCAACCATTAGCTAAGTAAAAAAAGTGAACTTTAGATGGCCATAGTTTCAGTTCCATTGACAATTGCATAATAAAGAAATATGACCTCGGATCTATGGTGGGTTAGGTTATTAGCGTTTTTTTTTGCATTAAGCAGTAAAGGGAAGCAGGTATAGTAGAAACGCAGTCTAAGTCGTTCAAAAATCAGTAGAAGGCCAGATTGCATTTCTTACTTTCTAGTGACACAAAAACAGAAAATTAGAAAATAAATTCACTTGCACATTTCTAATTTGGTGGCATTCCCCGCATTTTACATTTGTACTTTGACACTGACGTTTGTTTAAAGACTGACACTTTGTCTTTTTATTAATTTCACGGCAAAACGTACGAACTTGAAAGAAATAGAAATATTTTTATTTAGCAACTGTAAGTAAATTTTTCCTTGTCTTTATTGAAATAAAAAAATCAACTATTATTTTGTTTTTTCTGTGTGGGCTCAAAGGTGGGCTATCTCTTAATTGCTTTAACGTACAAGTTTGATTTTTGCTTGACTGCGCCAGAAAGAGGGTTATGTTTATAGAGTGACACAGAGTTATTACCTTGACAAGCTCTGTAGCCTAAACGTCTTTATGGATTTTGATCTTAATTGCAAGAGTGACAGTTTTTTTAATAATTAACTTGTTTTTACAGGCTTCAAGGTTCTAAAGATGTGTTATTTGACTTAAATAAAATATTCTCCACGCTTTCCTAAAAAAGTCTTCCTAGACTGATAGACCTCCTTTCTTTTAAACATTTTTTTACGCTTAATTTGCGGAAGGTGTCAATTTGCTCTTTTTTCTCATCATTCCAAAATAAATAATAATAAAAGAAAGAATGTTTTATTTAACTGCTTGTCTAATTATCATATAGATGGTAAATACACGAAAAATATACTTATATGAAAAAAAACACGACGCCTTCACCGCAATGCTTTCACTTGCGTTACAAAACGTTTTAATTACATATTTTTGTTTTGAAAATTGAATTATCTCTCCGGTGAAAGAATATGTGCTTCAAATATTCACAATAAGTACTTAGTGATGAATACATCTGATAAAATTGTTAGGATTATTTCTATTTGTGTTAAGTAAACCATGTCAATTTCGTAAAGGAAACTGCGTTACCGAATGTCTTAGCTTGTATCTTAGAATCGTCTCACGTAAGTCTACCACACAAAATTACATTAATACTCACACAAAATCATTACATTCAAATCAATGTTATATAAACAATAGATGCGTTGCCCGCACTCTAAAATTCTGGCAGATTAAAAAGATGGTAAATACAGTATAGTTATGCACTCAATCTTAACGCAACTAACGACGTATATTCATCTCCCGGTTGCGTTTATTTTCTTTTTCTTTAATACTTCAATGATTAAAATACGATTTGCATCACTGCCACAGGATTTAATTTTTTTTCATTTGTGCGCGATACTATAGAAGCTAGGCTTCCTCATCAACAACTTAAAGCCATCATTATTTAGAACATTTCCAAGGGATCCCAAAAATATTATGCCAAACAATATTTCTGACTTTGTTCATCTAACATGTTCTAACATCACATTTAGATGAACAAAGTTGCCTGGTAACAACAATAAAGGTCTTTGTTGTTGGTAAAATTCCCAGTAAACAAGCGAATCTTTTCAAAATAGGAACTAATTCTACATAGGCCGCATGTGGCAACAATACTTTGATAGATCGGTTTATCTGTGGCAAAATGCACAATGGTTTATTTTATTGTTCCTTGTAATTTTGTCTCGTAATAGCCATTATACAATACTTTCTTTATACCGTTGTGAAATACTCTTTTGCATTTATGAATTAAATATAAAGTAACGCAGCACAGAGTTACGTGTTCGTAGTAACTGTGTTTTAACCGATTTTAAAAAGGATGGTCGTCAATATTTTTCTGTACACGTATATTTACAACAGAACCTTATCTTGTTATTCGTTCTTAGGTAACTATGCACTTTTAGTCTTTTATTTTTAATTTTTCCGTGTGGACGTAACGAAATTAACAAGTAACCTGTTAGGGAGACTAAGCGTGTTTGTTTTATTTTATCACGCCTTTCAGAGAATATTTAGATTGATATCCTTTGGTATATAGGGCAGAGTGCAATGTCCCTACTCACAATTTAACCATAAAATACAATACAATACTATCTAGATAACTTACAGACCTGTTATTCTAGTTAAAGTCAAGTCAATGTTTATTATAACAAAGCTGTACTGTAACAAAGTACTTTATAATTAAAATAGTCTCGTGCATCGTGCGATCTTGAAGTTTATATATACGCCGACTGTAATATCTTATCATATAATAATATAAATACTAATATCTTAGTACACACGTGGCTAGTTTTCACTTACAGGGTAAATTTTGTCTAATGAACTTATCTTCGTTAAGTTAGTGTACTTCCTGTTTGTACTGTTCTTATACTGTCAGGTTGATATAATACCTGTAACTTTTCCTGAAATTTGGTTTGTTGGTAAAAACTAGCCAAGTCAAAATTTTGAGCTTGAATTACATCCCAAGTGAAATAATTGCATTTTGTAAATAATTGTCTAAGTATTAAAATTCAAGGATTTATATTACGTATTAAGTAGAAAATATTGTTGTAGCACCAAGATACAAGTAATTGTTATTTAAAAATTATTTTAGAAAGTCCAAAAAAAAGAGAAAATCCAAAAAAAATAATCTTCAAGTTTCTAAGTCATCTGGAAGTGAGATAAGTTTTTTAGTTTTGTTAGGTTTTCTATAAGGCAGTGAGTGAGACAGTCATAAAAAATCCGGTTTTTAAAACGTTAATCTATACTAATATTATAAAGCAGAAGAGTTTGTTTGTTTGTTTGTTTGTTTGTTTGAACGCGCTAATCTCAGGAACTACTGGTCCGATTTGAAAAATTCTTTCAGTGTTAGATAGCACATTTATCGAGGAAGGCTATAGGCTATATATCATCACGCTAAGACCAATTGGAGCGGATCACCAATGAAGATGATGTTTGAAAAACGGAGAAAATTTATTACTATTGAGAGACGCAGACGAAGTTGCGCGGGTCAGCTAGTATATCAATAACTGTTGGAGCAATATTCACGAATTTTTGGATTCTAGACAAACTAAAGATCTTTAGTAAATGTGCTAAATTTCATATATGTAGGTTAAATAATTTTCGAGTTGTGAAGGGGTCGGAAGTAGCTCGAAATGGTTCGTGTAATACTACACACGGCTGCTGCGTCGCCAGTTCCTTTGCTTTGAACTTGGCTGGACACGCTACGGCGTGTCTGGATTACTGTAATGTATGTGGTGCCACGGCACCACACACATTACATCTAGTGTATAAGCCGTTCCCTTTGGTTTTATTTACAAGTAGTGGTACGTAGGTGATTTTTAATAGCCCTTTACTTTCCTTATAAACTGGGCTAGTAAACGCAAAACTCACGTAGTTACGGAGATCAGCGCTTACAACAAATAAAACCAAACCTCGATAGTTTAGTACTAATATACTAGACCAACATATTATAACTATATGCGTATATTAAAGTAAAGTAAGCGAGTAAAGTGATACTCGTATTTTAGGACTAGAATAGATAAACTTCTACAAGAAGACAGCGTGATAATGTAATTTAGAAACTCATATTTTGAGTAGGTTACTTCAATCAATCAATCTAATGCCAACATAAATAAGGGCGATTTCACTCATAATTATCTTTTTCGTATGTGTTTGGTACTCTCAAATACCGAAAACGTTTATTGAGATAAATAACTGTTCACCGCGATGTGGTTACTGTATAGCATCCATATCGTGAAATTATCAGTCATTACAGAATGATTACGTACATAAAACTGTGTGTAGTGGTATCATACGAGTATAATACGACCACAACTAGTTGTCGCGATGTAGAAAAAACAAGACACGTACCGGACCATTAGAAGATGATCACAGCCAGAACGGGTCTCAAGTATCGTGTCGCAGTTGGAAATCATTTGCCAGAATTGACATTTTTTTCTAAACTGGGTTTTAAGTGTGGTTCAAGTATTCTTTTTTATAATTCCCGCCGCAAAAAATCGAAGTGTATTATAAATGTTAAACTTATGTATGTATCTGGGTTTTGGGCTTGTTCTTAATGTTTTATTTCACTTGATATAAATGGTTCTTATTTATAATTCTAGAAACATATTAAGTTGCTCGCAGATTCTCAGCTTTTCTCGAGTATGTTAAATTTTAATAAATTTAAACTTTTGTTACAGATATTTTGACACAGTGAAGCTACGGGAATTAATATTTATAGGACCAAGCTATTTACAGCAAAATCATAATGTGCCATTTACCAAACTGAAGAGGTGAGTAAACGTAGATAGATTTTAAGTTAAGTTGGCATTAAGATGATACTGTTATCTTATTTTTTTTTGTAAAGATATAGTTTTCAAGCAGTAATAAAGTAAAAAAGGAAAATTTAATTAGGCTTAATTATAAACTTTATGAAATGGAATTGTATAATGATTTGGTTAGGTTTTTTTTCTTCCAAAACGTCTTTTTTTTTACACTGCTGTCTGATCCCAAACTACTCTGAGCCTAGGTCACCAGACTACTGATAAACATACCTATATTTTTCTAAATAGGTACATACTATAGATAAAACATCCAGACACAGAACAAATGATCGTCCCTAGACACTATATTGCTCTAAATGAACACAAGGTCTAGCTTAGCAGTCAGGATCGCTAGCTATTTAAAAATGGAAATTCGTAAAACCAATGTAAAAGAATGCATGCAAAACTGAACTGTTTAAAACAATTCTTAAGAATCAAAAATACTTTGTCCTTGAAGAAACAACCAGGACACGCAATTATGAGTTGTGAGTCAGACAATCTACGTAGGCCAATGATATTGTATGACGTAGGAAATGTCCCACGCAGTTTAAGAATGTCGATAAAGCTTCATAGATTTAAAAGAAAGTAGACATCACTTGTTTTAGAATACACGCCCTTTCTGAATATCAATTAAATTACTTCAAAGAGTTGGCCGGAGTTCGGTTGTTCGATTTTTATAAGGCTTAACCATTTGAATACATTTCGTTATAAATTGAATCAGGCAGACACAGTATTATGTTTTTTCTATATTTTCTTTAATATTTTTACTTTGTCAGCTTAAAAATATTAAAGAAAATGTAAAGTAAACTGTTGTAACGGCGACTGTGTGTTCAGCTATTATTATGTACACACATCAAAGTCTAAGCAACGTGTACGGTTTTGAACTTCTGAACGATTTTTTCTATTGTAATATATTTATATTTCTTTTGTAAGCTAAGCATTCTTTGATGCATTAGTGACTAAAGCAACAAAATCCTTCATTTAATTGTTCATTTAATCACAATAATTAACAATACGTGTAGCGTAACATACGTAATACAAAATTAAGTTAAAACGATAATAAACTTTTGTTTTACTCGTGTTTTACAAACTTAAATAATGACATATTCTTAAATTATTATGTAATTCGGTACGAACTGTGACCGCCTCTGTTGTTTAAAATTTGTCGGCAACGATTTTTCATTGAATTTATAAGACTGTTTATCTAATCCTACGGCAATCGCTCCTAATGAAATTTTAACAAGTCTATCAGTTGTTGGGTTGTCGACACTCCGTCCAGGTTCTCTCTAGAGCATGTCCCCTGCGTGTTCGATGGGATTGATATCTGACGATTGTGCAGGCCACGGCAATACACGGATGTTTGCCATTGTCTAGTACTCTCTGGTCCTGCGAGCTGTCATGCATCAGCGTCAAATCTAAGCCAAGACTTTGTGTAAATGGGTGAACATAAGGTCCGAGAACAACTTCAACGTAAATTTCAGGTGTTCATATTGCCATCCACAAAAACGATTGCTTCTGGGTCCATGTCAAGTGTTCTCTACACCATTAGTTTCGAAGCGAGCGATTCCCAAGACGTATAGGTGGGCACCTAATTAGGCCTCGTGCTCGTAGGCCGTATTCATGCAACCTATTTCTCACGGTTTGGTGGCTAATAACAACACCGCTTAAGAATTGTAGCTTTAAACCTATCACAGACGGTTAACATCGTCTGACGTCTTAAAGTCAGTTCTATGTATCGTTCCTATGGAGCAGTTGTAATCCTTCCACGTGCCGGGTACTGCTCAGCAGGATCCCCAGTATTAACATAACGCTGCCAAAGACGACAAATCATGCTCCTATTGACATCAAAATACCGAGATACCTGGGACTGATTTCTTCGCACTTATAGCATTCCTATAACTTCCTGCATTTCATCAGCAGTCTAATGTATTAGCTCCATGACACAAATAATGACTCGCCGCTCAATTTAAAAAAAAAAACATTTATCATGCAACGAAAACGCTTAAAATCAAGAAAAAATAGTCAGCTTTTAGTTTAATAAAAACAATACACAATCGAAAAGTTTCTATTCTCTTCGGAAACATATACTGGCTCACCAGTATGTTTCCGAAAAGATTGTATACCAATCAAAAAACTTGCAGTTTCTGTAAATGTTGCGTGTTGCTCAGACTTTTTTGATGTGTATATAAAAAAAGAATAGAGGATGTTGAATATTATTATATTGTGTTTGATTTGAAAACGATGCGTCGTCTAGTTATTCATTACTCATGTTTTAATTGCGAATTTAAAGTACATTTAAATGTGACTGCACGGACCGCTTCCCTATGCTGAGTGTTGTGGCTTCGATCCCCACAAATCGATTCGATCACTTTGTGTGATCAACAAATTGTGTATGTTTTGTGTCCGTTTCAAGTATGTTTGTAAAGTCCTAGTGCGGAAGTTGTCTTTGAAAAATATATAAATAAATTAATACACTTTTAAGTCGCAATTTCAACATGAGTAAATCTGACAACCATAAGTTGGTTATCTTTATATTTATTTATTATAAAAGTTTTATATAACAACTTTTTTTGCAGGATATTAACAGAGAGTTTGATCTTTAAAAATATACATTGTATTGAGACGTTTGCACTATTAGGCTGTGAATTGGACGTCGCGGACAACGTGGAGAAGGATATTGTAAGTATCACTTAAATACACACATTTACACAAAAGGTGATTGCTCATTATGTGGTGAGAGGTATTTCCGTCCTATTGGCTCCGTTATTAATAGGTATAAGCAATTCCTACAAAGAAAAGAGGCATTATGCTAGTAGTGGTAATTATTTATGTATGCGTTTAGAGCATAAGGTCAAAAGCGCGAAATGACAAACGATCTTAAATTGTCCAACGAGCAGAATATCAATAGCGCACAATGTCAAAAGCGCAAAATAAAAAAAAAACGTAAACTGCTTGGTTTGAGTTTTACTTTTCTCGCATAAATGTCCAATATAGGCAGTGCGATTCTGGCACTGACCGGCCTCTGCCACGGCACTTTGTTGATCGCAATACTAACCTAACCTACCTTTTCATTTTCTATAAGCCATTTTCTATAAGCTATTTTCTATAAGGTATTGGTCCAACTGCTTGGCGCAAACAGTTCGGCTGTAAAATTTGCTGGATGAATATTTGACATTCAGCGAACGGGACAATCTACTTTGACATTTTGCGCTTTTGACATTGTGCACTTTTGATAATGTACGTTTTTGACTATGTGCGCTTTTGACCTTATGCTCCTAAACCTTCTGTATGTAAAACTGTTTAAGTTCATGAGGACATCATTATCATTAAATGCTTCAGCAGAAAAAATACCTAGCCAGTTCTATCTATTTGTACTATAAGTAAAAACAGAAAATTGAGAATCCGTTCCCAAGCCTGTTTCATTATACAAAGAATTTCTGAAAGAAATCTGGTACCTGGTTTAAGCAGCAAGAACAGGTACAACACTAAATTTAATTACAATACCGATAAGACGTAACGGTATGACGTATCTTTAACACAATACCTTATTTAAAGACTTCCTGCATCACAAAAGTCTTCAACTAGTTACATGAAATATGTAACTAAAAGGTCAAAGTTAGCCGCACAGCTTTTGTTCCTGCTACGTCACAGCCTGGTACTACCACCCAAAGGTCGTTGGCAATCAATTCTTGTATCTAACTACTTTACTATTGATTGAGAATTATGTTGAATCGTCATATTATCTTTCTGTTTACTTAAATAATATATTTATTTTTATTTATTTAAAATGCTTGCTTTATAGGACGTTAAGTTTTTTTATTCGTCACAGTTAGGCTGGCTCGACCAGAGTGATAACCTCACAAGAAACCGATGTTAAGGGATTCTTTCGTTGTTTTTCAACTAGTTGGTGAAGTCAACTGAGACCCTTTGAGTGAAGGAGATAGGTGATTTCCTATCTCCTTCACTCGGAAGTTGGCAACACACTCGTATCTCTTGAGTTGCCAATGTCGGTAGACGACGGTAGTCACTTATCATTAAGTGACCCGTTTGTTCGTTTGCTCTCTATGCTATAAAAATGTACTAAAAAACTAGAAATGTAAATAAAACAAATCGTAAAATTCTTTATTTAACAAACAATATGAAAAGCAATTTAATAAAAAGCAATTAAATTATGAAAACACATTATTACAACGATACAGTGATAAAGATAATAAACAAATATCTTATTGCAACAGTTTCATTTACATCAATGAAACACGGAAAGTTAAGAAACGGTTTATTTAATAATTGTTGCATAATCGCCAAGGTCAATCTAGTAACAGTTCAAAACAATTTATTTTTAACGCAGACACTCATACCATAACGGAGTTGTTTGTAATCAAAACTGGTTTTTGTAGGTTTTGTACTGTTTGCTATTTTATACTACCGTACCGTAAAGTAGCGGAACGAATGTAGCCTAGGGCGGAAACGACTCTGCGGACGTATTTTTCCGCAAAATTAATTTCATGTCACAACGATATCAAGGGCTCAGTATTACTGAGGAGGAGTATTGCTTTATATCCACTTTTAGGTAATGCGGTTGGAGATAGTGAAGCTACACGGTTAAAGATTTTCAAGCTTCTTCTAGAATTTCGAAACAATTTTAAAAATTAACAGCAGCTTTATGTGAATATAACGTGTGGTGACGGATTAAGAATACGGAGTGTCACCCCTATTCATCTCGTGGGTGTCGTAAGAGCCTACTTAGGGAGTAAACTACGCAGGACAACAACACTGTAAGAGAAGGAAAACTTCACACAAACCCTATACCGACCCGTCTAGCCAGCGTGGTATAGTAGGCCACAGCCTCTTTTCTAAGGAGAGGCCTATGTTCAGCAGTGGACTATGAAAGGCTGTTGATGATGATGATGAACGTTCTGCCATTTGATTTCACGGTCGTTGTTTTCCACAGGCCTGGAGTAAATACCTCTTATCTTTTTTTTTCCACTATCCTTTTAGTATATCTCCCAATACTCTTACGATATTTTAAAGTTTTAAAAAAATGAAAAGCAAAGATTGTCGAAAAGGCCTCGATATCGATACAAAATTTGAAATTCGTACCTATGAGTGAAGATTTAAAAATAACGCGAGGAAATTTTTGAGCGTTGTATTGAAGTAATCTGACCTAACAGGCCACACATACTTACTGCTATCTATTATTTCATTTCAGCACAAACACATCGAATACTACTCGCGAGGGCTACTGTTTAGCCACCATAGCATCATATCAGCTGTTAACTTGGAAATCCACGATTTCTCTTCTACGTTGAGGGTGAGTACTATTACCTCCCCCTATCGTCCGCTGGCAATGCCGTCCGAACGAACCGACTTCAAAAAAGAGGAAATTCTCTATTCGGTTGTATTGTTTCTATGTTTTTTGACTCAGAACTTCGTCATTTCTGAACCGATGAAGAAAGTTACAATATAGGTATATGGTATATAAAAGTGTATTTATTCATCCCGTTTGATCCAATAAAAATTTGAAGAAAACAGACCAAGCCTAAGGATGGCAAATTACAGAAAGCAGGTTACGGTTAATTACAATTTTTTTCAGCTCCTTTAAGTAGGTAGGAATATAAATCATATCGGTGACACAATCCTCTATCTCAATAGGCTAGTTGACTCAATTTGAAAACTTGGTTAATTATATACTTTAAGATCTATTTTATCAAAAAAAAAACCTATATTTTAAAGATAAAGCAATATTTACATTACTTATTTTGTATTTAAAAAAACAATTTAAATTTCCCTTGAAAACGCTGAATAGTATCATGACGTCTTGAATGACGTCACAGTCTGCGAAACAAAACTGTTTACATCTGTGTCCAGTGTCAACTGAAACTGTATTAAGGTGACAAAATATGTTAAAAACGAAAAACAATAAAGGGTAACCTGCTCTGTTGTATGAAAACGTCAACAACAATAATGATGTTTTGTGACGTAACACTTTTTGTCACGTGACTTAATGACTATTTTGTTCGAATTTATTTAAAAAAAATATTAATCATCTTTAACTTCTATGAGAAATAGACTGGTTTTTTCTTATCTATATATCTATCTATTGGTTTATAGTTTCAAATTATAAATTAAGAGATATCTCTTAATTTATAATTTGAAACTATAAACCAAGCAATTTGTTATTAGTGGACACAAGAATTTGAATTGAAAATATTTTTAAGGCTTGGGATTCGATTCCCATACCGGACAAAATTTTATGGGGTTTTGTGAGAGGAAATATAGCCTAAGTTACTCCTTTATGGACAGCTACCTGGTAGTAAAATATTATCAAAATCGGTCTAGCCGTTTTGAAGATTACCCGGAACAGACTTAGACAAAAAATATTTTAACTGGGTTTTAGGCATAAGTATCTTGCAAAAAACCGTATGACAATGAAAAAACTATTATTTTGACATTACAAAGAGACTTCAATTTAATTTATTTGTATAGATTTGTCAGATAATGTTATATTATCAAAATTTAACAAATTAATCTTTGTGGACTGTCGTTACATATACGTGTGGTATGCATATAGTCGACGTCAGTGACCAGCAGTCGGCTAAAGAAGCACGAGAGCAGTTCACTTTCAAACTTTAAAATTAATTAACATAAATATAATTTAAATAAACTTATTTTGTTAGCTAGTTATTGTAATTTAATGAAAGATGATCAAAATTTTATTTTGTAATTAGAAATTTCTTTTATTTATAATTATTTGGTGTCATATAATTTTAAATTGGATTTCCTGCTTAGTTAATTATTAATATTCTATACACAGTATTATTTAGTCATTGTTATTAAGTTATAGTGATAGTATTTGATCGGAAAATATCAAAAAGTCGGTCGATTCCACCAACGGGGAAAAAATTACGTGAACCACAAATAGTTTTATGTTTGTAATGTTGTAATGTAAACAAAATATTTTGTTTACAGCACATAATAGTAGACTACTCCCAGATAAACACGTCCAGTCTACGTACATTGGGAGTCCTTCGTCAGTTGCGTTACCTGACACTGAACATAACGAACAAGCGCATTCCTTGGCCCCAGATCGACTGGGGCCACGTGCAAAGCATGTATGTTGAACCGCTGCAAGTCATTATTAACATTGTAAGTATCTTATACACACGTTTTCTAGACATCAAGACTAAAAAGACATGTTTTCTACAAATACTCGTCTACGGTCATTTTACACATTTATTTAGCCTATTCAGGGTTGCGAGTACTTCGTTCTATCCGTTTGGTGACGGATTAAGAATACAGTATGGGTCGTAAGAGCCGACTAAGGGAGCAAACTCTGCAGGACAATAGCACTACAAAAAGAAGGAAAACTTGGAACAAACTCTATACCAATCCGTCTGGCCAGCGTTTTATAGTAGGCCAAAAACTATTGTAGGAGAGGCCTATGTACAGCAGTGGGATGTTAGGGGCTGTTGATAAGTACTTCGTTAATGGATTTACTATTTTACTTCCTTTTACCATGAAATCGGTATGTCAATTTGAGTTTTGTTGAATTTTATTACAGATCGCAGTGCCATACAGGAGGTTCAACGACATAATGGACAATATTCTGGTCGAAGAGCTCAACCTGATATCTTTAAAAGTCATGTTTTGTAAATCTGTAAGTAAGCCGTCAGCTTTTATTTATTACTTTTAAAACTCTAAACTGTGTTAAATGTAACAAACGAACAGGCAAACGAACCATTTTTTATTTGTTTCGCTCAACCACTGCTACCACTTAAGACCGGTGTTAAAGTATTCGGCGAGAAATTCCCAGATCTTGATAAGGCTGCAGCCTATGGCAAAAAGATCAGGGGAGCGCTAAGTTCATGTCCTTGCAAGCACGGCGCAAAAATCAAGGGGACACTGCACGGAACAAGGAATACAGTTCCTTTTTCTGTGGGACGCTGAGTTCTTAACTATGCAAGCAGCAGTTCTCCAATATGTCTTAAGTATTGTTATTCTTTCGTGTATAGTAAAAACAAACATGAAATTAATAATAACTGAAAATTGACAATCTAGTATTCAGATCTAAGTCGGACACGTGGAAATGTCTTACTTTTATTAAAGGCGCGAATCATTACCGGTTTTGTTTAGTGTCATTGATTCCTTTATGAACCTTAAATAGAATGAATTAAATATAACAGTATAAAAAATACCGCAAACGAATAATTCAGAACGAATATTCGTTTCTCTACTTACGCGGGCGTACAACACTCCTCTGCCTACCCCTTCGGAAAAAAAGATGTGTGTGTGCGTGTGTATTTTATTTTAGAGCTACTTAGTTTAATTTAAGTCTTGTAAAATAACTACTATTCGTTAAAGCGTCTTTATTGAGTGCTAAACTTTTTGTAGTGATTTTCTTTACCTAAGCGTTTTGCTTTACTAAAGGGCCAAAAAGCATTGTAGTACGGTGTGACCCAAATACATTATAACAGTAATAACCTAGCTGTTACTTTCGATTTGTTCATTTTATATTCGTTACACATACAAAAAAAATGTGAAAAAATAAAAATAACTATTTTTCGCATAATATTGTTCTGTACCTATTCGTTTTTTTTAAATTGTATTGTGATATATTTGCTTTGTAATAAGTTTATTTTAATTATCCAAATTTATAACAACATGTCAACCAATTACCACCAATAGCAATAAATCAACATGTGTAATCATTTTTCAGTTATACACTCCTCTTCTGTCGCACGTTTCACGTTTGTACCAGGAGTCTCTACGTGAAGTGGTGTGGGCTGATAGCCCTTACGAGTCCAACGACCCTTATCATCGCATCGTGAGACCTATGCGACAAATGCAGGTAATATACACATATAAGATTACTTACCCTGAAACAAAAAACGTCAACTGCCGAAATTTCAAGTTTGTAGCTTAGAGTTTGAGTAGAGTTTGTAGATCTGACTGATCAGCATTAATCATAAATCGCAGGGGTTGATCAGCTGGGGCTGGGGCTGACCTTATTGATCAGCACAAATAAAATTACACAAATAAATCGGCTACAAACTTGAAATTTCGGCAGCTGACGCTTTTTGTTTTGTGAAAAATGAAGAATAATAGACTCATCCGAGTTTTATTAAACTAAAATCTGTACATAAATATATATAAACCTTACTTTTAAACCCTTGTTAAGTAGATATAGACTTCGCCTGAAAATGTACTATTTCTATGTTCTTGTATTAACAGCTACACACAAATTGAAAGTTTTTCAATAATACTGACTGACTGACTTTGACTGCCTTCGTGGTGCAGTGGTAGTGTATGCGACCTCCCTGCTGAAGTCTCAGGTTCGATTCCCGGGTCGGACCAAATGTTTGTATGATCTGCTAATATTTGTTTCGAAGTTTGGGTGTTTTCTATGTATAATATGTATGTATTTACAAAAAAAAGTTGTAGATAGTAGAACAGTAGTTAGATAACCGAAATATTAGTATTCAAATGATAGATAAATTACACCCAGACGTAGAACAAAATTGTCGTGCTCATTACACAATTATTTATACAGGTTTGGAATCGAACTCACGACTTGTGGCTTAGCAGTCAGGATCAGTAACCAATAGGCCAACCTAGCCAGCAATCTTCATTGTTATCAGTTCAAGCTCTGCTTAGTTTAAAACTAGATAGCGTTGTGTGTCAGATATCTGAAAATATTATTATTACCCTGCTTTTTCAATGCCACTTTTACTTACAAAATCAATGATATACAGCAATTGATCAAAGTTGTTATTTTAAATTATAATAATTTTTTTTAAATAACTCAATGTAAAGGACTCAGTGGCACCATCAGTTTGGTGGATGTAAACCAACATTAAGGATATATTGAGGGGCCTGTTGTTCTGGAGTTAAGTGACTCTGAGGGCTAATTCGGAGGTCGTGGATTCCATTCCCATCCAGGACGAATATTGTGTGACGAGCACGATCATATGTTCCGTCTGGGTGTAATTTATGTATGTATTTAGCAAACTTAAAGCATATTTATCAGCAGTCTTGTGACCATAGCAGGCTCTGCCTAGTTCGGTATCAAACGTTCGTGTGTGAGCTGGTTTTTTTTTTTTTACTTTAGTCAAATTTGTTTATTCATTTATTTACACTTAAATACATATATTTGTTGCAGCCCGATCATTTCGCACATGTGAACCCATTCGTGTTACTTTGCTGGCAATGTACACATTTAAGGAGACTGGCCATTCATGGTAAGTTTATAATCTAATACACCTAAAAACAGATAGGACTGCAATAGGCTGATGATACCTAAAAACAATTTCGTTACCTTAAGTTACGTAAACTTCTCCGTGCTCTACGAGAGAATTTACATAACGGTGTAAATAAACGTAGAAACTGCATGCGTTTTTAGTTCCTATGCATACATGATGCAAGCAGAAATGTACTGAAAAATCTTTTACTTATTTCTTAAAATACATTTATATTTGATAAAGCACCCTCTGGTTGCGATCACTCTGTGCATATTTTTCAAATTGACAATTTTGAATAATTGTTGGTTTTTATGTAATTAAGATATTAAATTTGAAAGCGTAATGTTGCAATAAACCTCCTTTCTAAGGAGAGCCCTAGTCCAGCAGTGGACTGTTAAAGGCTGTTGATAAAACCTATGTATCGTATTTAAAATACTTAACTTTTGTTACCTAGGTTACTGGATGTGGCACTATGACCTGCTGGGCTTCGTTCGCCTGCGAAAGACATTGACTCGGCTGGAGATATCCGCTATATACAACAAGCAGGGACAATTTGACAACGAGCTGCAGATGAGCGAGGAGGGTGCCGTCAGGGTCATGGTGGCCGACCGACCTGCAAAACTGGACACCGTCTGTATAGATGTGAGTACTGTGTACTAGAGATGACACGAGTTCGGCAACTATTCGTTATTCGACCATTTTTTCTACTGTTTAGTATTAGGCCGAATATTCCGACTATTTAAAAATAACTTATTATACATATTAGTTTATTTATCATATTAATTAATTAACAATTTTTTCTTTATTTGTTGATAGGAATTGCGCTTTTTCTCATATATTGTATTTGCTTCGCAAATAGCCGCTCACTATATATACTGTCTCTGCTTGCGAAATTGTGTTAGGTTAGGATATTGTTTTGCGTTTGCTGACTAATTTACTGATTCAGTGACTTCTTTATGTATTTATTTTGTTAAGTGAATAAATGTTACAAAGTTGGAACTTTCGAAAATAATAGTACGCTAATGACAGTTGGAAGTATTGTAAGTGAGGTATGCGGTTCGTTCCAGGAGGTGAACGAATACACCGAGTTCAACTGGCAGCCGATAGCGTGGGGCTCGCTGCACCGCGGGCTGCGCGCGCGCGCGTCTCCGGCCGAGCGCGCCGACTTCCTGCTCAGCGAGGCGCGCCAGCCCCTCGGCGTCACGTAAGTGCCGCCCTCACTCTCCTCGCTCTGCCCAGCGCTGCCTCGTCTCGGGACCCACTGCAGTCTCACCGCCGAGTTCTACATAAACACTACGCCCTTTAAACGACTGTACTCTTGCTATTTTATCTCTTTCTCTCAGCCCTTCGCTGCATTCGGGTTCAAATATAAAGGAAGATATACGCAAGTAAGCGATTGCGGATGAAAGTAATCGAATAATTTTATTATAAAACCCGTATAAAACGTCGCATAAACGTCTTTAATATATGGAAGATTACGACATGTAGTGTTTCTTAACAACAAAAATAATGATGAAAAGTGATTCCTGAATGTTAGGTGGGACAGTACCTACATCAACTTATTTACCCGTTCGCTAAGAAATTAATATAATGATGTATACTCCTAGTACATATTTCTTGTCCTTATTGTTCGTCAGTGTTATCTAAATTGTCTATAATTGGAAAAATCGTTTTTTCGATATCTCTTTATTTTATTCATCCATTCAATCTTTCATTCATTTCAAATTTTAATGTTGCCAAATCGCAAACTAGACAAATTAATTTTATTAGTAGATATTATATGTGGATACATATTGAGTGTATGATTGAGTTTCGAATTCAAAAGAAAGCTAATAAAGGAGCCAATGGATACTACTAAACTAAATATATTGATGAGATTATTTATTCTCAGATAATGGTCTCTTATAATATTAAACAATTTTTCTGTGTACATCAGTAATGTTTGTCAGATATTTAGTTTTATGTATTCTAAATGCCCATTCTCGATGTCTCTATTAGAGAACAACTTAGCATGAAAAAAATACTTTTACAATCTTATCTTATATCTATATTATCTGTTTGCTCAACTTCTTACTTTATACAGTTAACTTCATCGTTCAGTGAGTGCTCACACTAAAAAATATATAAAAAAGAAATATTAATGCCTATGTAACATAATTTGATGTCAATTAAGAGCTTAGCTGCATTAAAAATACGCATTTTTTTACTATATTTACGATACCAGTTAAGGTATAGGCAGTCTGTCTTTCTATACAGAGTACAACTAAATTCATATTCTCTGAATCTCTGAATTGGTTTTCTACTAATTGACAAAGAAATATTTTAACGCTACTGGTTTTTACTAAGGTTTTTTTTTACTCTGCACTTAAGTAAATTATAGTGTCAACTTAGGTATATTTCGAATGCATTTTCTTCATATTGTCAGTCCAGATTCTAAGGTCTATTCACCTCATTTAACTAACTTATCTTTCCTCGGTTTTCTTATTTAAACATTTATATTTAAAATCCTTTTACTTCATTGAATTTTAAAAATACATTCGTTTATATACTCTGGGCTTTATTGATTTCAATAAGACTAATCCACTATAATTCCTGGCATAAAATTTTCATTTCTTTTATTAACTATAAAAAAATAATATTAAAAATTATCCTAAATATTTTAGGTAGATCCGAATATAGTAAAAATATCCCTGTCATTTAGAAGCCCAATTTAGCTATCAATTCGTATTATTATTAATTTGTAAGAAGCATTTTATTTTAGTTTTTTTTTATTATTTTATGCAGGTTGTATTGAACGGTGAAATAATGAAGACGGAAGATTTGGTCATATCTGCGAAGTATTACTTTTCAATAACATACCATAATGCTATTGGAATATTGAGACAACACGAGAGGAAAGGCGGGTTAGTCTGTATTAGATTGCTTCTTATATATTTATATGAACGTTAATTGTATAAAATATTATGTCAAATGTTAACTACAAATGTTATTGCAGTGTTTTGTTATTCGTAAAGTCTGTCTTTTAGCATTTACTACTGTTACTATCGATTTTGTTGTTAATTAGCAGGCTTTTTTTATTAGCAGCCGTTTTAAAACAGCGTTGATCGCTGAAAATTTTGACCTTTTTCTTTTTCTTCTATTCTCTTTCGGCTCTGGTTAGGAGCTGTCACTATATTGTTATTATAATCGATGTTGTTTACTTTATTTTCTAAATCATGTCATGTCGTGGGTGTGTCGCTCTAAAACTTAAAGAAAAACGTTGTAAAATGTGATTGTGTTTCAAAATAAAACATAAAATTAATAAACATCACTAACATAACATATTACTATCTGGCTTAAATGATCGCCACCAAATGTGTAAAAATGTGTTATTGAACTACAAAATAACCCCGAAAATCTCAATTCACATAACGTAATATTTAAGAGCAATTTACGAAGTGTTTTGTTGTTGTGATGTTTTATCTTGGTGGTATCTTTTGGTGATATACAAGTTATGATATATTCCTCACCCATTAAATTTATTATTATTAATATTCGCACCTGCGTTTCATTAATATACAAATTAACAATGCTTAGACAGATTTACGAATATGTAGATAATTTTACAACTATTGTTTATATTTATTAAAGATATACGGTTTTATTATCTTCTTCTCACTGTGTGCATTTTGCTGATGCCTGACAAGTTCCGGACCGACAAGGGCTCTTTTTTAAGGGTAAAGCATCCGGCCTGATTTCGTCGTCGCAACAGCAAACCGATATATCTTTAAAAATATGAAACCATTACTTACAAAAGTTTTTATTTGAATGTATCACAAGATTGTTGAAGTAATTCCAATTCAGATTAACCCAACAATATTTATACAACCTGTATATAAAATTACTTGTAGTAATATTTATACTGACGCATCTATATGATGATATGTTTTATAACAAATACAGTTCTATATACTTATTACTGCAAATGATTTTCAGCATTGGGTTAACTTTCACGAGGGGATATTTTATGATGAGTCGCTAATAGACTTAGTGCACGACACAATCCTCGTGGAATAACACCATTAGATTAAATTGGTATGGGTTTTTTCTAGAGTATAATATTGTTTGAATATCCTTTATAATATATCTGTAGTCGTAGGTAAAATATTAAAAGTATATAAATGTTTTTCTCTATATACGTGTAATGTATCAAAAACACAATCTCGGGCAATCTCAAAACCTAAGGCCTAATCGATTTGACCTGTATCTTAGATAGATATTTATGTTAAGATTTTATTCAAAATAAGAGAAGTGATCGCCAATTTGTCATCTGTTACTAGAATACAAGCGATCAAAGTATCAAAATGAAGTATTCAGTCCTTTACTGTGGTAAAAGGAGTATATAATAGGGGTAGGGTACAAACTCACGTACTACACAGTCTAGCCAGATAGCATGATATGACAAATTTGTATTCTCGGTCAAAAACAATTTCATAAAAAATAACAGCAGAAACTAAAAGTTGTCTAATAGATTGTCCCTATTCATTGGATAATTACAACTCCACAACTATGCGCTGTTCCATAAACATTTGCCTCCACAACCAATTAGCAGATCAAATCATTGATTACCTTTTATTGTGTGGTATTTCCGTACCTATACGACTAGAAAAACAATGCACTTATGACCCCCTGAGGTATAGGTGTTCATGGACGCAGGTAGTCACTTACCTTCAGTTGACCCGTGTACGCCTATGCCTCCACTATCAACTACGGGGTCACTAAAAGGCTAAGGCTGCACGGCAATATAGGTTTGTTTGTATGTAGCTATTGGCACACCGTCGCGTTCCCACTGCTGTACGTCTAGGGGACAATTTAATACTTAATGAGGATAAATAAAATATGCCATCGGCAATCCAAACGTTTGGAGGTCGATTCAAGTGATTATATTATCCGATTTATGGTACTCACATTCATTTGCTTGAATTCCTATTTGAGTATCAAGGCTACTTAAAGTACTGGTAGCTCATAAATGGGTTATATATTGACTTAACAACCTTCTATTAAATACACCTTTATCACCGCCCAGTAAAGTTCTGAATACAATGCAATATATTTCCTTTAAACAATTTAAAAATGAAGTTCCTTAATAAAAAAATCTTTCTTAATATGTAAATATTAATGATTTTTTGCGTATGATCACAATCGCAGATTATATTTAGATGTTTTATATCTCCACACGCATGTATATAGCCCTAAATGTAGATTTGTCTCTAATAAGTATTAAAAAAAGATTTTCTCTAAAACAAATAAGAAATTCGTATAATTATAAGAATAAATCATGATCACGAACGAAGTTTATACCAAAATTGTAATCAGGAACATTGTATTTATATTTGTAAGATATTTACTTAAAGTTTTACGGTATGTTTTCGTTAGTCGGTTTATTGTGGAAATTTCGTGCAGTTAATAACGTACTGATAAAATGGCCTGATAAATACCACGACCATTGCCATTGACCTACGAAAGCCAATTCTGTGCTTCGTTTTTTGTACAAGTCCCATCGATTCCATTAGTACAGGATAATAGTGTTCAATATAATATATTTTGTGTGCATTAATTGTGGTTCGTAGAGCAGTGGTACTGGTCATTCAAGAATGAGATCTTACAAAGAAATGTTATAAAAGCTGCTAGTGTAAACCGACCTTAATACATCCCCACCTTGCCCGAAATGAACATTGTATCATTGGTTTTTATATAAATTTATTGCTTTAATTTGTTTCTTTTAGAAATAGTTCTGTAATGATGTATAGATAACATAGAGAAAGGCCGAATGATATGTTTACAGGCAACATCTCTGAAAATCGCGAATTTATCATGTAGTTGTAATAATTGCAATGTTAGACACAATTTTAAACCAAAGCACGTCCAAAAGTGTAGCGCGACCTGTCGGACTAGTATTAAACGCCATATCGATAATTCTCGAAATTCGAAGAATATTCTTCGTTAATTAAATTTGTATAATTAGACTTGCTCACTCCTTTGTTTGTGATAAAAGACAATAAGAGACTTACTAATCAAAAAGTATTATAAATGTACTTGTGCAGGTCCGACTACAGTTTTGAACGGTCTTCACACGCCAAAAGTAAAAAATCGCCAACACATCGCGCACAAATACCAACAGTTATGCGACTGTTTATAGAACAAGAAGAGATTGTGAGTCTTACGCTTTTGGTGTGAGGGAATAGAAATCCAAACGAAGTGTAAACATCTATCTAGTCAAGAGTGACCCGTGTAAAATTGTAAATATAGAACTGAAAAGCCAAAACATAAACGGGTTAGAAGAACATTGCACAAAAATGATAACAAAGTATTACAAATACATAATTTATATCAAGTTAGAGCTTTAAGCGATCGATCGCGATACTGTATATAATACAGTTTATTATACAAAGTGCCACACTGCTATTGTGAAATTGTAAACGAATGAAAACGTTAGACAAACGAATATATTATTAATATTTTATTAGAAAATATAATCAGACGAGAGCAATGCAGCTAGAATTTACTTAAAAATACAATTGAATACACATTTTTAATAAAAATAAACGATTCGGAAAAAAAAAAAACAAAAGTATAGTTATCCGTGACAATGATGTGTTGTGTTTACAAACTAAGAGTGACGATGCTACGAACGATAGAAATCTCGATAAATCGATATAACAAAATGTTTAGACATACTAGGTGGTCGTTATATATCAATATCAAATCGAACCGCATAAGTAGTCCGTCCCCAAGACATATTCAATGCATTTGAAAGGATAGACTGAGACGTTTGTGAACGTAAGGACTCGGGATGGTGGCTGACGAAACTTGATCAACTTCTCATAAGAAAGAAACCGTGTAAAAAAACCAGTTTCTAACCTATTGATTTATTTATACATTCAAGTATCAATAGGTCAACTTATAATGGTTAAGTATGTTCTAAGTAACTATTGTAAAATGTGTGTACGTTTTATTCAATGCATGTTGTAAATTCAGGCTTCCATAATCGATTGACGTATGAACGATTGACATGACAGTGAACAACTACAGATGTATTTCCTATAATCGGTTTAAGTAAACATATTTGTATTCCAAAAGTCACGCACAATAAATGTGATTTAAAAAAAGACAACATTAATGCCTTCAATAGTTTAAACATTTAAAGTTCAGAAAAAATATTTTCGGTTTAATCTCATATTATTAGTCATAGTTGTCTTATTTCATTGAGACATTATAAAAATATTTATTACATAGGTAGCATTCTTAACTCCCCATGACGAGTGCTACAGCATTAATATTTATTGAATAGGCTTGATAGGTGAATAGAAAACGAATTCATTCGGTAATATTTACGTTGTAGATCGGATCTGATATACGTATTATGAGTCATCTGCAAAATTCTTATTTTGAAGCAGAACTTTGACAAGTTCAACATAAATTTCTTATCATCATCAACAGCCTTTAATAGTCATTATACACACAACTTTATACGGAAAATGGGTCAATTTGGCACTGGTGCCACATCTACGGACACGTCTCAATGAAATAAGATTAGGCCACTATAAAAGGGCCAATAGAATAATTGCTTCAAATAGTATTTAGTAATAAGTACTCGTTTAACTTAGGTCACGATAAAACTATATCGCAAAAAGTTAAATGATTTGCTTAAAATATTTTTTATGACATTTTATAAAAGTTCGATCGCGAATGAACACAATATATTTTGTAAGGCAACGAAGAGACTTACCAACTTACATTCCCTGAGACTGAGAA